ATATGACAGGTTCTCATCAGTTTGACTGTGTGGAACCAGAGAGTGTGGGAGAGTGGAACCAGACAGCACCAGAAACAGGAACAAGCCAGCATTGCCAGTGGAACCAGACAGCACCAGAAACAGGAACAAGCCAGCATTGCCTGTGGAACCAGACAGCACCAGAAACAGGAACAAGCCAGCATTGCCTGTGAACAAGCCAGCATTGCCTGTGGAACCAGACAGCACCAGAAACAGGAACAAGCCAGCATTGCCTGTGGAACCAGACAGCACCAGAAACAGGAACAAGCCAGCATTGCCTGTGGAACCAGACAGCATGGGAGAGGAACCAACCAGCATTGGAGAGGAGAACCATCCAGCTTGTGAGTGTGGAGCCATCAGCGTGTGAGTGTGGAGCCATCAGAGTGTGAGTGTGGAGCCATCAGTGTGTGAGTGTAGAGCCATCAGCGTGTGAGTATACAGCCAACAGCATGTGAGTGTACAGCCATCAGCATGTGAGTGTACAGCCATCAAAGTGTGAGTGTGGAGCCATCAACATGTCAGTGTGGAGCCATCAGCTTGTGAGTCTGGAGACATCAATCTGTGAGTGTGGAATCATCAGCGTGTAAATGTGGATCCATCAGCATGCAAGTGTGGAGCCATCAGCATGGGAGTCTGGAGCCATCAACGTGGGAGTTTGGAGCCATCCAGGGCGGCACTTAGGGGGTGAGCTACCAGCGGATGTAGTCACGGCAGACAGAGTTATGTCTTCACAACATGAAGCACCAGCAGGGACGCCAGCCTCTCCATCTGATGTCAGCAACAATACATCAGCAACAGAAACATGGGATTTATCAACACTGAACAGAGCCTACGTGTAGGCCTGTACTATGCTCGTGCTGCTGTTCGGGGATCTGTAGTTAAACTTCTAACTTTTTACTGGCTACCTGCCCATGATACTAAGTCCCTGAGGATATGGTTAGCAATTAACTTTAGTGTTGCACGCTAGGAAAACTGTGTACAGCCATCTTGGGGGACGTTACGGAACAAGACAGCAAACAGCACTGTTACTTGTGGCAAGGGAATTCTTCACAACCATTAAATAAATACTACATCTCAATAATGCGTAGGCGAAAACAATTATCTCCCTTGGTTCATTTTCCACATGTGTTACACACTGTTGAATAATGGGTCTTCAGGGACAAGTCCGAAGATAGATGCTGGGACCGGACACCAGTCTGTCCAAGGTATCAGTGTGCTGTTCTGTCAGTGACAGTGAGGAATCCGGGTCTATGCAGTATTTGAGTTCTGAATAGTGAGAGACAGTAATTGGGGTTTATGCAATATTTCAGTTCTGAATAATGAGAGAGAGTTATCGGGGTCTATGTAATATTTTAGTTCTGTCAGTGAGAGAGAGTAATTGGGGTCTATGCAGTATTTCAGTTCTGAATAATGAGAGAGAGTAATCGGGGTCTATGTAATATTTCAGTTCTGAATAATGAGAGAGAGTAATCGGGGTCTATCAGTTCTGAATAGTGAGAGAGAGTAATCGGGGTCTATACAATATTTCAGTACTGAATAGTGAGAGTAATTGGGGGTCTATGCAATATTTCAGTACTGAATAGTGAGAGTAATTGGGTTCGATGTAATATTTCAGTTCTGAATAGTGAGAGAGAGTAATCGGGGTCTATCAGTTCTGAATAGTGAGAGAGAGTAATTGGGGTCTATACAATATTTCAGTACTGAATAGTGAGAGTAATTGGGTCGATGTAATATTTCAGTTCTAAATGGTGAGAGAGTAATTGGGGTCTATACAATATTTCCGTACTGAAATCAGTACCATGCACATAAACTTTCAGCTTCATAAACCAATGGGTTTCAGAAATGTTTGAAATAAAGGAAAACAAGAAGAGAAAGTCATCAATATCCCCCGCAATGGCAAAATACTCTTCATGATTATGTCTACGAGTTATGATTATGTCAAATATTTAGGTGTGTATATAGAAAAGTGGAAGGAGAGCATTGAAAGGACCACTATCACCAATTTCAGTCTCAGTCAAACTTGTTGCCATGGAAACGCCAAAAATATTTTATTCAGAATTCCAAAACTACCAAAAGGCACCAGTACACCACCAGACCAATCTATGTGCCAAGTTTGGTGAAGAAATAGTGAACGGTTTTAGAGTTCTGCTCCGAAAAAGAACACAGCCACCAATTTCAGTCTAAGTCAAACTTGTTGCCATGGAAACGCCAAAAATATTTTATTCAGAATTCCAAAACTGCCAAAAGGCACCAGTACACCACCAGATCTATGTATGTGCCAAGTTTGGTGAAGAAATATTGAATGCTTTTAGAGTTCTGCTCCGGAAAAGACAAATGTGCACGGACGGACGGACGGAGTCCATTTTAATACCTCCCGAAAAACGCGTTGCGGGGGATAATTAGAAAATGAGTAGTGAAGGTCAAGAGCTGGGTCAAACTAAATTACAACTGTGGCAGCCATATTTAAAAGTCACACCAAAATTCTGCAAACACGATTTAGAGACACTATGGCTTTGATCATCCATGCCAGGCTTCACCTTCATTGGCATTGTGGTTTTAGAGAAGATTAAAATAGAACAACATTCTGAAAATTCTCTTATAATTAGGTGAGTTACAACTAATGAATCTACAGATTACACCTGCAAATGTACAACAAAGTGGATGTTTTCTTTCAACTACACCTTTTTGAAAGGGGATTATGCATCCGAGTTCACACAGTGAAATTGTTGTGACAACTTTCCACAAAGTTGGTTGAGCAACATTTCATCATACCCCTTGAACAAACAAAGTTCAACAGAGCGGCATCGTGTTCCAACTCATTTCGAAGTCTCAATCACAGCTCCATTATCAAGTTTAACAAAGCAGCAAAAAAGATTAAGCAAAGCAGAATTCTAAAAAAGTAATAAAACTTTCTGTTTTTGAGCGATCAGTGATCCATGAGACAGACGTGAAACATCCTCAACTTGGATGAAATAATCCATGAATCAACATGGCCGCCCCCGTATGCATCGAGTGATGTCTATAATGCTGAGATCCCCATTATATCACCATCAATAGTTAGCAGAGGCAGACCCACAAGCTGTTAGATGCTTGTCTCGTGAAATAAAAATGCTTATGTTGAGTGGAAACTGCAATAGAATTGATGGACGTAACAGCACCGAGGATAGCAAACATGGATTGTGTTGCTGAACATCTGACATTTGAAACATCTCCCCTGATCACCAGATTGAAGTCCACATGGGTCAGGTAGTTTAGTTCATCAGCGAGTAAATATTGATGATGGAAATATGATGCACAAGATCCTCCTTTCTTAATACAGCCATCAGAAGCATTTATGAACCTTCAAATGACAAAATCAGAGACTTTTCCTTTCATAAGCACTTAACTGAAGGACTTATCTGATCATAAACACTCAACACCATCAAATTGATGAGGACCTTATAGAACTAAAAATACCCACAGAAAAAACTCAGGATTAAGTGCATTCACCAAACTGAGGCAGGTGGAACTTGAGGGACTGAGTCCACCACAGTGTTTAGTGAGTGCAAAGAAACCCGGCACTTGTTACTCACTGAAAGTAGTTCTGGTGACATGTTGTCATGACAAGTTTGTTGTCAGTTGTCATTTGGAAAATACCACGGAGTATGTCCAGTTAAGTTTATGACAATGAAGTCAGTGTTTCCGCCTGGATCCCAAAAGGGCAGGCGACAGAAATTCAAATGGTGCAAATTTTTCCAAAAAGGGCATGCAAAGTTATTCATACATACGATTCTTAAAGACTCAAAGAGCACAGTTATTTCACTTAATTTCAATTAGAAATAGAAACTAAAAACCACCATGTGTTAAAATAAATCATTTATCAAAAAGAAGGACAGGGTGCTAAATAAAAAGTGAATGAGTGAGTTTAGTGTTACGCCGCACTCATCAATATTCCAGCTATACCGGTATATGGCAGCGGTCTGTAAATAATCGAGTCTGGACCAGACAATCTGGTCATCAACAGCATGAACATCGATCTGTGCAATTGGCCAAATAAAAAGGACAGGGCCTAGATTTTCGAAGCTCTCTTAGCGCTAAGATAGCCGTAAGTTAATGTTAATGCATGGCACTTACGACTATCTTAGCACTAAGAGAGCTTCGAAAATCTAGGCCCAGGACACCAAATAAAAAGGGTAGGGTGCTGTGCCCTGCTAAAAAAGCATTTACTAGAACATCAAGCCTTTGTTGACAGGAAAGCCTGAAGTGACGCAGGTGTGAGACTTTTGCCACCTTGTTGAAACCCACAAACATGGGCATGGTCTAGACAAATCTTGAAACATGATCAGAGAAAACTGGGATTCAAACTCATGAAAATAGGTTTCTGTCATTCTCAGCAAACTGTGGCCCAAGACATGTACTGAGGGTATGACCTTGAGGATGTGACCTTGAGAGAATGACCTGTTGCGAGAGTCAAATGGTTTCTGGAGGGATACAAAGAAGAGGTATTTATCAATGATGGCCAATTTCAAAATGACATGAGGCACATGTCTCACCCTAGAACTGCAGCACACAATCACAAATCAACAGATCTACTGGGCACGCTCACATTCAGGAAACATCTGACATATGATACCCCTTGATGTCCTGACACATTTCATAAGCAAAACGCGGCAGACAACACACTCCAGCAGCACCTAACAGCAAGAGAACATCAGGAGATATCTGCCGTGTCTGTTGCTGGCAGAGTCCTCATTGTAATCACACTCAACAAGCAGACCACAACAGGCACTTCCTGCACAGTGTCTGTATAACCTGATACTGCTGTTCACTTAGACTGGTTGGGGTATATTTCCAGAGATATCAATATTTTGCAGTCACTCCTTCACTGCCATTTTGTTGACTAATCCAATTTCTCCTTTCATTGACACGTTCCTATCTGAGGATAAGAAAAGACAGAAACATGGGACTGGAATAATGCCTGCTAACTTCCACTCTCATCTTACCTGATGCCGCCGAATATGAAGGCTGCTGTGGCGATGGGGATGAGGGCAGGGTAGTGTCGCTCCCAGTCGTCAGAGCTGATCTTCTTGATCTGGGACAGGTAGACCACCAGAAACATGGCAATGGAGATGTTGATTCCCATCAACACCGAGCCAATGTTGAACCATAATCTGTAACACATTACATTCAAGTGACTGAGTGAGTGAATATGGTTTTATGCAGAAATATTCCAACAATATCATGTGGGGGCAGTGTGCGAAATAGCTTGTAAATCTCCACAGTCACTGGCCCGACTGGCTAGTGAATTTTCATGGGGTCATTTTGTAAATATATCTCTCTTCCCGACTTGTCAACTTTTAAATATGCAAGATTATGGCCTGATAAAAATGTTCATCATATTAGCAGATGATGAAACCCGTGTCATGCCGACAATATCTTATTCTCATCTATTTTTGCTTAGTTTCTACATTCAAATTTCGGGCTAGTGAATTATTTTGTGGGCTAGTAACTTTCAGGCACAGCTAGCCCGACTGGATGGCAAAATTTGGAAACTTTTTGCACCCACTGGGGGGAGGGGAAGAGGGGGAAATAGGTGAAGACACCAAAAGTAGACTTCACACATTGTAACCATGTGGGGAAACAAACCCTGGGTCGTGATGAGAGAGCGCTTTAACCATGAGGTCACCCGACTGCCCTTTACAATCAAGTACTGATTCTGTAATATCTAAATTCATTAATGTGACTACAACATATGAAACTACATTGTATACAAGATGCAAAACATCTTTCATAATTTCTAACAGTCAAATTTGAATGGACCTACAAAAATACTTCAACTTATCAAATAATCAATACAACCACAAAATAAGATTACTTCAATAGGACTAGGGGACAAAGGTTTTATTTCAAAACAACTGTCAGTTTGACACAATGGTGTTTGATCGCACCTAGTAACCACCATTATTGTGTCTTACAAACAAAATGACATAGATGATGAATACTGTCTAACACCAAGACCAATATATTTGTCTGACACCTTGATACAAAACTTAGCGTCTCCCACGGAGTACATAAACTTGTGTCCAAGATCTTCCATACTTTGGGCAAGATCAAAAGTTAATTGTCAGATGAATAGCTTAGTGAGTGAGTTTACTTTTACGCTGCACTCAGCAATATTCCAGCTATATGGCGGCGGTCTGTAAATAATCGAGTCTGGGCCAGGCAATCCAGTGATCAACAGCATGAGCATCGATCTGTGCAATTGGGAACCGATGACATGTGTCAGATGATGAATACCTTAATCCTTTAAGGGACGTGAATAGTTGCCGATGTGGTGTTAAACAATTAGTGATCACACTTACTCATAATGCTTTAAACACTGGTTTGGAGTCACAGATTTCCTTCCTACAAAATCAGCTTGGGAAATTTACAAAGTCAATAAAATAACAGACCTTATCTGTCTACACATCTCCATCGTAAGTGTAAAGCTCTGTGACATACCAGCAGCATGATTCTTGCTAAATACTATTTGCTTGACAACAGAATACCTATGGACATAAACATTATCACAATGAAAAGATTGTGGGGTGGGTGGGATAGATATATGTGTCTGAAAATGTGAGAAATAGAAGAAAGAAAAATCCATCACTTAATTTCAGCTTCTCAATTATGAGAAATTAATAATTAATTAATATCACAATATCAATAGCAAGTACCTAAAACAGCAAGTAGTTCTAGAAACAAGTTTTGTTACACTGTGAAACTTCAGTCCAGCTGTTTATTGTCAGAAGTGTTAAGTTTCAGTGTGTGTTTGAGAACCTCGTGGAGATGAGAACTGTCTGACAGAAAAACAGCAGATCTGGTAATACTTCAATCTCTCACAGATCTGTTGTCTGGCTGGGGAAATAAATTTCATCATTCCAGTCGAGAGACGTTCTTACCAGAGGGTGCAAACATTCAAATTACCTTATGTACAGTGAGACCTGGTTAACTCTAAGTCATCATGACAATAAATTACTGAAGTAATTTGTAGTTAGATAGAAGCGATTGGGATACTGATATTCCACCATCTCCTGTGTCTGTAATAGTGAGATTGTATCTTGGCCTTGCTGCAGTAGAAGTAATGCTAATGGAGTATAACTGAGTTTTGAGTTTGGTTTTACGCGGCTTTTAGCAATATTCCAGCAATATCACGGCGGGGAACACCAGAAATGGGCTTCACACATTGTACCCATGTGGGGATTCGAACCGGGTCTTCGGCGTGACGAGCGAACGCTTTAACCACTAGGCTACCCCACTGCCCCCTAATGGAGTATAAGCTGATATGGCTCCATTATATCACTGATATCAGGTGATACTTTAAACAAGGTTCCGGGGGCGGTGGGGTAGCCTAGTGGTTAAAGCGTGTTCGATCGTCACGCCAAAGACCCGGGTTCGATTCACCACATGGGTACAATTTGTGAAGCCCATTTCTTGTGTCCCCCGCTGTGATATTGCTGGAATATTGATAAAAACGGCATAAAACCATACTCAGTCAGTTAAACAAGGTTCTACAGTATCATACTGAAGTCATATTTCTTAAAGGATACTTTTTCCATCCGGATATTTTAAAACGTATGAAAAACAAAGAACTAAAATTATGGTATGAGCAATGAGCAATGATTTAAAAATCATAATTTCTTTGAAATATAGGTTTTCCATCTGGAAAATTCAAAGAAAAACAAGAAATCCTATTATCATGACAAGTTCCATCGGGCAAGATGAGTTGCCAGATACTGCTCCTACTCAGAACACACTCACTGATCTGATGACATCGCTTGTTGATCTAACTAAATCTCAAACTGTTCATCAGAGCGTAGGGTGAGATTTGACAGCGTTCGAAATTGATTCACATTCTACAAATAATAAAGAAGGAAGAAAGTGCGATGATGACCATCAGACTCTGTTGATGACATTGAGGTGACCACAGAAACATCTTATTAATAAGATCAGAGTCAGTAAAATCTCATAGAAGACCATTTTGATGAGGTCCATATATAGTGGGTGAGTTGATTCACAATGCAGTTAGAAAAATTCGAGCAACGACACAATGGGGGCACAGCAAAAGGCATCTGTAGCACACATTCACCCTTCAATACATCTACAGCACAGAGAGAGAGAGAGAGAGAGAGAGAGAGAGAGAGAGAGAGAGAGAGAGAGAGAGAGAGAGAGAGAGAGAGAGAGAGAGAGAGGGAGAGAGGAATGCTGCAACAAGATTAGCCCGAGACTGATGATCATTATGTACAATACATAAAACACTCATCCTTTGATGTTATGTTCTGTTACAGAACTCGTGTCACTGTCAGTGCATGTCACACGCACATGACAACAGTCACACGTATCAAATGTGTTTCTTTTAGCTGCATTACATGACATGCTACCCTAAATTAACCTTTTTAGTCTCCTTAGCTCTTCAAGAGGCTTTATCCTTTACTTCCATAATAACCTGATGGCAGACGTCTTAGTCTCCATGATGAGATTAATGACCTTGGGGACGACCTACCTAACGAGATCCGTTACAGTCAAAATTATAGGTTAGAGTCTTTCCATGCCATTAGAAACGGGAAATGAAAGGGAAAAATCAAATCCTTGTATAAATCACACTGATTCATGGCTATTTAGTACTAGCAGAATGAATTCATTGTGTTGGCCACAAGATGCATTTACACAACAAACACAGAAAACCTTACGTCAAAACAGGCATTAAAATACAAACTTCTCAAACAGGATAAATATTGCATGTGGTGAAATCTCATCGATTTGATGCAGGCATGTATCTAGGAGCCCTTGTAATGAGGGAGCTGATATACCCCATCTCCAAGCCAAGTACCAAGCCCCAGGTTGCTGGCCTGATGTTCTCTTCTCATTAACTATTTACCGCTGACTGATCCTCCACAAATACGCAGGAAATTACACTGATTACTGCACATGCATACACCTCAAAATGAAGGCAAAGAAATGTTTGAATATTTTTTGTGCAGTTGGGAAGTCATGTTCAGCCATCACAGCTTGGGATTTGGTTTTCTGGTAGTAAAGTTGCATTAGTCAGGAGGGGTCCCTTGTTAACATGTCTGTCTGGTTCGTCATGTCCTCACTGAGGAACTGCTTGCTGGATCCATCTGAACTCTTCATCCATCTGTGTGGTATGGATGGGGGGTCAGGTAACATGTCTGTCTGTTCCATCTGTGTGGTATGGATGGGGGGTCAGGTAACATGTCTGTCTGTTCCATCTGTGTGGTGAGGGTAGGGAGTCAGGTAACATGTCTGTCTGTTCCATCTGTGTGGTGAGGGTAGGAGTCAGGTAACATGTCTGTCTGTTCCATCTGTGTGGTGAGGGTAGGGAGTCAGGTAACATGTCTGTCTGTTCCATCTGTGTGGTGAGGGTAGGGAGTCAGGTAACATGTCTGTCTGTTCCATCTGTGTGGTGAGGGTAGGGAGTCAGGTAACATGTCTGTCTGTTCCATCTGTGTGTCAGGTAGAGAGTCAGGTAACATGTCTGTCTGTTCCATCTGTGTGGTGAGGGTAGAGAGTCAGGTAACATGTCTGTCTGTTCCATCTGTGTGGTGAGGGTAGAGAGTCAGGTAACATGTCTGTCTGTTCCATCTGTGTGGTGAGGGTAGGGAGTCAGGTAACATGTCTGTCTGTTCCATCTGTGTGGTGAGGGTAGGGAGTCAGGTAACATGTCTGTCTGTTCCATCTGTGTGGTGAGGGTAGGGAGTCAGGTAACATGTCTGTCTGTTCCATCTGTGTGGTGAGGGTAGGGAGTCAGGTAACATGTCTGTCTGTTCCATCTGTGTGGTGAGGGTAGGGAGTCAGGTAACATGTCTGTCTGTTCCATCTGTGTGGTGAGGGTAGGGAGTCAGGTAACATGGTCTGTCATCTGTGTGTGGTGAGGGTAGGGAGTCAGGTAACATGTCTGTCTGTTCCATCTGTGTGGTGAGGTGGGGAGTCAGGTAACATGTCTGTCTGTTCCATCTGTGTGGTGAGGGGTAGGAGTCAGGTAACATGTCTGTCTGTTCCATCTGTGTGGTGAGGGTAGGGAGTCAGGTAACATGTCTGTCTGTTCCATCTGTGTGGTGAGGGTAGGGAGTCAGGTAACATGTCTGTCTGTTCCATCTGTGTGGTGAGGGAG